ACAAAGTTAAACAAATGCTGAAATAATAAAAACCCATATTAGGGTGTTGTCCAATAACGATAAACAAAGTAGATGTTGTAAATTACAATAATTATGCCAATATTACATGTCTGTGGTTTTATTTAAATGAGTAAGTTGAATAAAGGTATAAAATTTTTAAAAGTTTAAACAGACAAGGTAAGGCCCACAAATTGTTATAAAATAGTCTCTTCGATTGTAATAAATTAACAAATGAGCAAATAAATAAATAAAATAAACATTACTTACATGCCGGTACTCTATTAATTGATGGATGGTAGAACATGGTTGAAACTACTATATATTGTTGAATGGAGAACTCAATTCTATTATTGCAGTTGTTTGACAGTAAACGGGAAGTTCTTGAGGAGATAGATTTGATCCAATGAAGAAGAGATATGTGTGTGATTGTTTGTTAAATGAAAGTGATGTAATATATCATTGTGTTATTAAAAGCTATTTATACTTATTCGAGAGATATATTTTTGAAATGTGTGTTATTTATTGAGTAATTGTTTTAAGAAGGTGACAGTTTTATGACAATGAATAAGTTTAGATGTAAAATTGTGTGGGTGTGCAATTATTTTCCAACTTGTAGTTATCAAATTACTTTGATAAAGTTCTATGGCAATTAGTAATTATTGGAAAGTCAATAATATTGATTAATTAATTGCAATTGATTTCTAATTACAATTTAATTATATTGCCATAGAACTTTATCAAAGTAATTTGATAACTACAGTTTGAAAATAATTGCACACCCACACAATTTTTACATCTAAACTTATTCATTGTCATAAAACTGTCACCTTCTTAAAACAATTACTCAATAAATAACACACATTTCAAAAATATATCTCTCGAATAAGTATAAATAGCTTTTAATAACACAATGTATATTACATCACTTCCATTTAACAAACAATCACACACATATCTCTTCTTCATTGGATCAAATCTATCTCCTCAAGAACTTCCCGTTTACTGTCAAACAACTGCAATAATAGAATTGAGTTCTCCATTCAACAATATATAGTAGTTTCAACCATGTTCTACCATTCATCAATTAATAGAGTACCGGCATGTAAGTAATGTTTATTTTATTTATTTATTTGCTCATTTATTAATTTATTACAATCGAAGAGACTATTTTATAACAATTTGTGGGCCTTACCTTGTCTGTTTAAACTTTTAAAACTTTTATACCTTTTATTCAACTTACTCATTTAAATAAAACCACAGACATGTAATATTGGCATAATTATTGTAATTTACAACATCTACTTTGTTTATCGTTATTAGGACAACACCCTAATATGGGTTTTTATTATTTCAGCATTTGTTTAACTTTGTATCGAGACCTGAGGATGCTTTGCATATTGTAGAAAGCGAAACCGGTCGTCTGATAGTTAAATTAAATTGATTGTGAGTAAGTCTTATTTATTATTTCTTTACCTATTTGAAATGGACTCACACAAGCAACACATTCATGATATCACCTAATTGGTAAGACAAGAATCCAATTATTTACACTAGATATCATATATAAAATAGTATAATAGTCTTGGTGAAGAGCAGAAAAACGTTTCCTGCTTAATTGGTGCGTTACATCAGTCTGCTCAGTTTCTTTTTGGCTTGGTTAAGCATGTTTTCGAATTAGGTAAGATAATGGAACCAGTAGTTGACAGCTTAAGAAAAATAATACAAATCTGGCAATAAAACAGTTACATATTAAATATTTTTATTAACTATGTCTCAGGATAGTTGTTAATGTTTGTAAAATAAGAAACTAAAATAAGAAAAAGAAATCATCATCATCATCATCATCAATGCGCTACAACTCTCGTGAGTCTTTGCCGGCGTTACTAGTGCCTTCCATGTTTGTCGGTCTGTGCCAGTAATTCCATTGTCGCACTCCACTTCTCTAGATCTTCTCTGACTGCGTCTTTCCACCTTTTCTAGGCCCCCTACAGACACTTCCTTCCTTCTGGCCTTTCCCAGAACACATTGTTTATAAGCATGTGTCGTTACTGGCGTATCACATGTCCAGCCCAACTGAGTCGATTGGCCTTTATATATCTGACTAGATTTTCTTTTCCGAATAGAGACTCTAGCTCCGTATTGTATCTGCCCCTCCATTCGTGTTTGTCACGCTGTCTCTGCAAGAGCCATTATACACATTCGAAGAATTTTACTTTCCCATACCAGCAATTTATTTACTTCTCTTTTTGTTACGTCATGTTCGCTTCATACGCGATGTTGTCGTATTAGGTCTTTAAATCCGGATCTTTGCACCTCGTGAAAGTAGTTTCGACTTCATTAGATGTTGCATTGCAAAGAAAAGATCTATTTCCTGCCATTATTCTCGTTTCAACTTCTAGCTCCTAGTTTGTTGTCATTTGTTATTTGCTCCTAGATATTTAAATTCTTTAACCACTTCGAAATTGTGATCATTTATGGTAATGTTGTTGTTTATTCGCCGTCTTTCTTTTTTTGAGACGACCATGTATTTTGTTTTGTCTTCATTTATTTTTGGACCGATGTTTAATGCAGCTTCTTCAAAGCTCGAGAAGATATCTTATAGAAGAAATATAGAATATAGAAGAAGTATAGAAATATAGAAGAAATTAGGCAGTAGATAATATTTAATATTTTCAAAATTACAGTAGTTGCCACCTACAGGATCCAGTAATTGACGATATTTTAACTATCCATCAAATTCAATCCATCCATCATATTTTAGTATACAAAAGCGACTTATTTTTATATGTGACATGACATGTAGTGTTTACTATGTAAAAATTGTCAATAAACCTATCTATCTATCTATATATCTATCTATCTATCATCTTCATAGCTCTTGTATAGAGATTATGTCGTACGTTCTTCTCAAGATCTATAAGTACCAAATATGTAGCTCTGTTTTTTTATCGTATTTCTCTATTAATTGTCTCCAAACAAACAAATATCCGTCCTCCAAATTCATCCTCCTTGGCATAAACCTAACCTGTTCTTCTATCGATGTCTCTTTCTTAACCTTCGCTCTACGGTTTTTCCCAAATTTTCAATGTGTGCGACAATAACTTTATTCCTGTACAGTTCTTACAGTCCTGAATGGCCTCTTTATCTTTTTAGAATGATACCATCACTCTTTCTCTCCATACATTGGGGATGTTTTCTTCCTCATATATCCTACTTATCATTTGCCACAAAATATTAATTCCTTCCTCTTCTAGACCCTTCCAAACCTCCACAGGTATTTCATCAGGGGATACTGACTTACCATTGTTCATCATATGTAACTACTCGACAACTTTATTTCTCGCTATCCCCTGTATTACATTCCCATTAGAGATACCTCCTCATCTGTCTCTCCTCTGGTGTTCTTCATTTAGCAATTTTTTAAAGTACTCATACCATCTTTGCTTTATTTCAACATCGGTTCTTAACACACTTCCATCCGCACTCTTAATCTGCAAGTCCTTTAATGGTTTGCTCCTGGCTTTAGCAATGCTGTATAATAATTTCATTGCCCCGGGTGTTTCCATCTCTTTAGATATCTGTGCAGGCGATCCTTACTTAGCAGTAGTTACAGCGCGCTTTGCCTTCTTCGTTGCTACCTTGTATAATATCTTCTCTTCCTCTATTTTAAAGCTGGCATGCCTCTTTCTAGCCTCTTTCTTCTCTCTAACCTTCCATTGCACTTCGTCGTTTCACCACTAAGTTTCTTTGTCCCTAGGAGACCCTTCACATAATGTTTTTACTTTAAATTACTGTTGGCTTCCCATCAGTCATTTACCCTATCTTGTTTCTTAAGCTCTTTTAGCAATTTAATTTTAAAGACATTGCCAAATCATTATCCTTTAACTTCTACTACTTTACTTTCTGATGTCCTACTTGCTTTTCTTTCCGCCTCACCTTTATCTCCGTGTCTACTATCACCTGTCGGTGTTGACTAGTTACATACTCACCCTTTATCACTTTACAGTTGGTAACTTCTTTTAACTAACTTCTTCTACACACTGCAAAACAGCACTAACATTACGAATTTGTCTTAATTAGAAGTACTTTATTTAGAAATGATCACATTTGGGATCTGACCCTGTATTTAGCGACGATGTTTTTATCCTTTATTTGGTTTTATATTGGCATATTGTTAATGTAGATCTTGTGGTATTCGGCTAGACTATGTGTTTCTTCTTGCGGTATCATGCTCTATAGAAGGTTGACTATCCAGTCTCTCTCTTTTTTGTGCCACGCCTATCGGAGATTTGGAAATCATGAGGCTATTCTGACCGTGTTTACGGCTGACCTAAAGGGTTCATTAGTGGTGCAGCAAACCACTCTCTCAAATTCCGCAACCATGACATTCGCTACGCCTGGATTCGTTTTCCTTCTATTTTCCCCTGCATTATATTTGTGAAGTAATGCGGTATTTATGTCCTCATCATCAGGTGACCAAAATATCGAGTTTTCTTCGCTTTAGCGTTCTATCTCAGTGGAGAACCCTAGTTGCCATTCCCTGCCGAAAACGAAACGACGCGACGTTGGATATTGTGTTTAAGAATGCTGATTTGTTTAACCGATGAAAAATTTATAATTAGTAAATCAAAATCTGTGTTTTTATAAAAGTTATTCTTCTGAGAATTTCGGGACACCACATGAATTATTCAGACAGAGTCTGCGTGATCTCCTGACATAAGTGATTAAAAAAACGGCGGGCTGCATCAGCTTTATTAAGATTGTGTAGCAGTTGCAGACGTAACGACAGAGACCAAAAATTACATACCATGGCCTATAAACCCCGAACACAATGTACCATTACAAAACACCGAGCGTGATAATCTACACAACATGAAAATGCTCAGAGTTTATATTTCGAAATGCATGTTTTTAGTACTACAGCTTTGTAATGTTTTCTAGAGCTTGGTTTATTCTAAATATATTTAGATTTTGATATTAAACAAGTAATTCTTTTACAGATTTACAGGACAAGGTAAAAGATATCGAGCTAATGCCAACGACATGGATTACCATCCTCAAGGTAAGCACAAATTTGTTTATTTTTAATAGTTTTTTCTAAGATTTAGTTGAGCCAATTTTTTTCTCCACTAATAAGAATATATAATCTCCCACTTAACTGTAGAAAAACAAAGTGTTTATCAAATTGTAGGTTACAATATACTGGGCATAAGTGATGTACAATGGCCAGACACCGGCCAAAAACGGCATGATGTTTATGCTGAAACAATGATCCTGTTCATCTGTTAGGAGTCGTTATCGTGGTTTAGACACATAAACTAAGTAATTCAGTTATAACTTCAATCCTTACTCAGAGAAAGTGATAATAGTTCAGCTGAAGACAAACATACAACAACTTAACTTAATTCAAGTATATGCACCAACAGCGGATAAGGATGAAGATGAGATAGAACATTTTCACTTGGAGTTAGACATAATTTTAAGATCTATTAAAAAAGAAGACATTACAATAGTAATGGGGGAATTTAATGCTAAAGTCGGGAGAGAGAAAGTTGTCGAATATGTTGGGGAATTTGGACTAGGTGACAGAAACAAAAGAGGGGATAGACTTGTGGATGTTTGTCAAAATGAACATTTTCCAATAATGAACACAATGTTACAACTACCCGACAGCAGATTATACATTTGGAGATCTCCTGCATACAACAAATGCAGTAAAAGCATACCCTGGAGCAGATGTCAACACAGATATACAAAATATTGTAATACCTAAAAATAAAGCAACGTTTGATTATACAAAATTAAGAAAAAGAGAAATACAGCAAAAAGTGATCCACCAAGTCAACTAAAATCTAACAAAAGTAGGAGAAGAAATCTTAACATGGATGTGAATGTCAACGAAAAGTGGAGCAATATTCAGAAGGCATTACTAAAGGTTGCAGAACAAAATTTAAAGCCTGAAAAGTCAAATAAAAAACTGAAGTGGATGACTTCGAAATTCTAGCATTAATGGAAGCCAAAGGGAGAAAAGCCAAAGAAGAAATGAGCCAAAATATCAAGAACTACAAAGTAGAATTAAAATAGAGATAAAAAAAGGCCAAGGAAAAGTGGTTAACTGATAAATACATAGAAATAGAAGAGTATGACAGAAAATACGACAGTTTTAATATGCATAAAAAAATGAAAGAATTAACAAATACCAAAAAGCGAGCATTGCAACCAAAATTGCACCAATTACCAACTGTTTAGATCTGCAGCATCAAAAATACGCATAGCTTTGATGATAGCCAAACTTCGGAACGAAGACGGCACTTGAAGAAGAAAAAGCGAGCACACTATTTGATGCTCAAAGATGATAATATGCAGACATCAGATGATGATAATGCAGACATCAAAGAAAAATTAAGATTTTGGAAAGAATACATAATGCAACTATTCGACGATGATAGAATGATACAAGAAGAACCACAGGAACAAACAGGACCGAAAAAAATAATGTGCGAATTAGAACAGGCAATTAGAAATGCAAAGACCACTAAATCAGTAGGCCCAGATCAGATACCCACTGAGCTAATTAAATGCATTGTCTGCTTTATAGGTTATCAAAACACTTTTGATAGAGTACGACATTAGAAACACGTAAAACTCTTAAAAGAAAAGAATGTGGATAGTCGAAATGTACGGGTTATTGTCAATCTGTACTGGAATCAAAACAAAAAAGTTTAGAATCGAAAATATTGTAGTACTGTCCCCACTGTTGTTCAATATATACAGCGAAGCTATTTTTAAGAAAGCAATAAACGTTAAGAAAATCAAGTGCATGATTATTTCTAAGCAACAGAAATGAAGGCTAGATATCGTGGGAAAACAAGTAGAAAGAGTGAAATAACTACAAATACCTGGGAACCTGGGTAAATGAAAACAATGACCAAGGTAGAGAAATAAGGACACGCATTAAAATTGCAAGACAAGCATTTATAAAAATGAAAACAATGTTTGTTAATCGAGACCTTCCTCTGGAGCTGAGGATAAGAGCCTTGAGATGCTACCTGTTCTCGACTTTGTTGTATGGAATGAAAAGCTGGACGGTACAAGTGGATAATATAAAGAAGAAATCATTTGAGACTGTCATGGCTGGGACATGTGCAGAGACAAAACGATGCAAAAACAACAAAGAAAATGTTACAATGGAAGCTCATAGGAAGGCGAAAAAAGGAAGGCCCAGAACCAGATAGTTGGATGACGTGGAAGACGACCTGAAAACAATGAACGTAAGACAATGGAGGAGAAGGGCACAAGAGAGATCTGAATGGAAGGACATAGCCAGACAGGCAAAGAACCATCCAGGGTTATGATGCCAAAGAAGAAGAAGAAGAATCATTTGAGATGTGGTGATATAGAAGGATTTTGAAAATACCATGGACCCAACGCGTTACAAATGCAGAAGTGTTAAAATCGCCACAAAAGGATTACGAGGTAATAAAGCACATCAAAACAAAAAAGCTGGAATATTTAGGCCACATTACCAGAGGGACGAAATATAAGATATTAAGGGTCATAATGCAAGGTAAAATCAAGGGTAAAAGATCCATAGGAAGACGAAGAATTTCCTGGATAATAAACCTAAGGGAGTGGTATATTTGCAGCTCAGTAGATCATTTCAGAGCATCAGAGCAGCCGCCAATAAGGTACGGATAGGTGTGATGATAGCCAACCTCCGATAGGAGAAGAAACTATAAGAAGAAGAAGGTTACACCAACAATGAAAACAAGGGTGAATATATCAATGTGTATAAATAAAAGAGTGATATGTTTAGTCACAATTATCAGTCAAATTATTGAGAGAAACCGGGCATGTAAGAATCTAATAAATTGCTAATTGTTGTGCCTTAGACGAATGTTTTTCTTTACAGAGGATTTAAACACCAAATAAGTCTAGTATGGCTCATATTAATAGCATGTTCAACAAATAAAAGATGAAGTGATATAAGGTTGAATGCTCGAATAAATGAATTTTAATCAAATAAAAGGCAGATATCGAGTACAGTTTATTTATTAAATCTTGCCCAAGCTACCTGGTCCTGGTTAAGACCAGGAGCCATTCTCTCTCCTGATGCCACGCATTATGTAGCTTTGTCGATTTTAAAAATTTTTTTAAACTGTTTTTCCTTGTGTCGAGTTGTTTTAATGTATCAGTTAATGTTTATGAAAAAAAGCTCTTATGAACGAAAAAGCCGGAATAAAGATCAACGGTCACCCCATTTGCAATATCCGATATGCTGATGATACCGCGCTCATAGCAGAAAATATTGAAGACCTACAGAGATTACTACACAAAGTGGTAGAAGCAAGTGAAGAATTTGGTCTGTCACTGAATACAAAGAAGACCAAATTCATGATAATTACAAAGAAACGTATCAGTAGTATCAACTTACATGTAGGACAGAATCTCATTGAACGAGTACAAAATTACAATTACCTCGGAACAAATATTAACGAGTCAAACGAATACACCAGAGAAATAAGAATAAGAATAGAGAAAGCCCGCAGTGCCTTTAATAATATGAAACAAATGTTGTGTAGCCGTAACCTAAGCCTAAAGCTGAAAATACGAATGCTTAAATGTTATGTTTTCTCGGTCCTGTTGTATGGGGTGGAGGCGTAGACACTAAATAAGCAATGTATGGGTAAGCTGGAGGCATTTGAGATGTGGGCGTACCGAAGAATGTTAAAAATCTCCTGGAAGGATAAGATAACTAACCAAGTTGTATTAGACAGGATGAACAAACAAAAGAAGGTCGTATTGAGTGTTAAAATGAGGAAACTACAATACCTGGGACATACAATTGTTCCGAGCGGCAGCCTCCAGGGTCAAAATTGCCATGATGATAGCCAACCTTCGTAGCGGAGATGGCACGTGAAGAAGAAGAAGAAGAAGAATGTTTATGACATTCTCCATAATATTTTTTTCCTAAATTAATGGCACTGGCAAAGCCAAAAGGCAAGTCATGTTTTCTCATAGTTTTATCATCCATTTCCATTGTTTACATTATATACATATTAATATTATATACAAGTTAAATTAAGATAGAATATTTTTAGTGTGTTAGTAAATGCCTAAATATTTTCGTTACTTATTTTTATTTTTATTGTTTATTTCTTTTTATTAGTATTATTTTTTATTGTTTAATTTTATTTATTTATTGTTTGCTTTTTTTTGGCTTTTTTTTTTCATATTGTCTTTTTTTGTTTTTTTTTTTGTTTTTTTTTTGTTTTTTTTTGTTTTTTTTTCGTTTTAGGCTTACAAATTTATTCATATATCGCAATACTGCTTACAAAGTAATATTAGTAGATTTTACATACTGATATATGATGTTGTAGATACTATTATCCTCTAATGTCAATAGATTTGAAACATTTATTGGAAATTTCATTTTGTACAATATTAAATTTTGATAAAACTTATCAATTTCTATTTTTTTTAAAGGACATTCTAAAAGAATATGTTGTAAATCGGCAATTTCATCACATAGACATTTATTATTATCTAACAAACCTATTTTATGTTTATACTCTGGAAATAGTGCATGATTGCAGCGCATTCGACTTATTATCCGAATAATTGAACGATTACGTGTATTCTCAAACCATGGTTTGTCCCTTATTTTTGGTTGTATATTCTTAAAAAACTGTCCTTTGTCTCCACATTTATATTTTATCTGCCACTTTTCCTTAAGTTCCTTTCGAAAAATTGGAATAAAATCAGACTCTGGTATTTTTAATCTAAGTAGTCTTCCATTTTTCGCACCATCTTTTGCTAAATAGTCCACTTCTTCATTTTCTTCTATACCGGAATTGGCTTTTATCCATGATATATAAATTTGTTTTCCTCTACTTGATACATTTTGATACAATTCTAAAATATCAAGAAGAATATAATTTAAATTAGGATTCAAAAACAGATTATTAAGTTTTTCTACCGAACTTTTAGAGTCTGTAAATATGACAAATTTATCCTCTTCTTGTTCTAAACACAGATTAATTGCTAATTTTATGGCAATAA